TAGGCCTATCTATGGCCTTCAAAAAGTTGACGACTCTACATGTTTCGACGTTGCAACGGCATCCTCAGAAGTTTAGATTTAGTAATTCTCCGCTATAAAACATTACACTTGACACTTGAGATAAATAAAACTTTAAATGTTATAACTAAAAGTGCTTTGGTGCAATTTTTAAAATAATACCATTTATTAAAAATTTACTGAATATGTTAGAATTTATTTTCAAAAAAATTGCTTTGTAGTCTTCTCTTCCACATGTTATCCTAATTGTCTGTTAATCTTCAACAATCCCACAAGAAAGTATATAACTAGCCACTTATCAAATTGACTTTCAAACATTGTTAGCTCTGACAATGCCTTACTCAAATCACAATTCTCTTAACCCTAGACTTACTGATGAATTCCAGAATTCTACTGCCTTTTTAAACATATATTTCAAAACTATTTTTATACAGCAAATTGTTTGTAGGTTTCCATGACTTTGTTAGTTACAGAGCCTCTAACTGAAATCAATCCCATTAATTACTAATGCTTTGCCCAATATATTGAACATCGAAAATGAGAGATTTTACCCTATTTGTTTTTGTCAGTCCTCTTACATCAAGTGTTGTAATAGGCAAAAATATGAAATTACTCAATATGGTAAAATATATGTAGCCCACTAGTGGTGAACAATACAAAATCAAGTTAGTAATTTGAGGGTAAAAAAATACTAATTTAACAATGTCAGAGAAGCCACAAATTAGTGAAAAATAAATCTATAAACACAGCACCAATCTATCTGTTAATGAAAAACTACACAACACAGTTACTTACATCTAGAAGGAAAAGATCTAAAATGTTAAAAACTACATAAAGTGGGAATTTTGCTGTAAACAGAGTTAAAAACCACTGAGATCCAAACATATGAGCTTCAATTCCCAAGTCCAAGAAGTGTGCATAGAGTTCAGGGAGTTGTTCCTAAATGAAAGTAAAAAATAACATAACCTTCAAATTATTTCTTGTTTATTTGATTCACAAAATACAATTAGATATCTCAAACCTAGCAGATATGTTTACATTGATTTATAAAATATGTCTTTCAAACAGCTTATACACAGTACTTGGAGGATTTCTTACCAAGGTTAAAAAAAAATTCTACCAAGGAAATCATTTCATTTTAGTTACTTAAAATTCCAACTTCACATTCATCATTAGTAGTTTAGAAATGTATTTGTCCTTGCTGTTAACATGGCTATGTTGGTTCTACAGAAGGAAACTATTAGTGCATATAAATGAACATGCCAAATTCAGATCACCCACTAAGTCAAGCATATTTGAACATGCCTTAGGAGAATGTGACATTGTCATTTATTCTAATTTGTTTAAGACCGTTGCAAGAGTCAATGATGAAAAAAAGACTCTGAATAAAAGAATATTTTGAAAGCTGAGGACTGAAATCAATGTGGTTAGTTCTGCTAAAAAGCTAAAGTTAAGGCTGTAGAATGTAGTATTCAAAAGCTGAAATATTGGCAATTTTATCTTAAAAGGTATAGGTGTCACAAAAAGTACAGATATGTAATTCAACCTAATTTTGTATTACACAGTAATTTAGTTTCTTTATTAGTCATTACATCTTTTATCTTAATACAAGGAATAATATTTCTAATTAACCTCCAAAAGTCTCTCCAGCTGGTAAAACTTCAAGTGAAGCTCTTCAAAGCTATTTCGGAAGAGGTCCCGTACTCCATAATCAAACATGATCTTCACAAGTACATGAAAGGCTTGTTCTTCAGGCATCTATTTAAAATCAAAATCCAGTACATTTTTTCCTATGATTATTGAAAAAACATACCAACCATATTGTTATGTATTCACGAGTATATGAAACACTTGTTCATCAGGTATCAATTAAACATTAAAATACAAAACATTGTTCTCATTTAAATACTAGAACAATAAAAGATGTAAACTGAAAAAATCTGAATATCTGAAATAAAAAATCTATTTCAGAAGCTTCATTTGCAATTTTCTAGACAATTGTTGTTAGCCTTCTTTTATTCTAGTGACATTAATTCAATTATTCACAAGCATGCCAAGGGAAACTGCTAAGTTACACACACACACATTAGCAAGCAGTCATGGACTATATAATCTGAACATCCTCTTTCAATCATCAACAAAGAAAACAAAACTGGAGCTGGCCAAAAGAAGAAATTGTAAAGTACATTTTACAGAAGATATGACAACTATTTAGCATGTAGCAAACCAAAATTAGTTTTAAATTCTGTTTGGTTCATACTTGAATGATTCAAAAAAGCTGTGACATTCTAAAAGAAAATCAAAACCTGACCATTTTTCTTAAAAAGTACTGATATAAGAATCAGAAAAATGCACAAACAAAAGAAATTATATATAATTCTTACGAGAAAAACAAATAAAATCTTACAGTAACAATTAATAATAAATAATCTTAATTATGAGCAGGTAAACTATGAAAAGCTTCTACGACCACTCTGCCATATGTACCCTCACTACCAGTGGTGTTTTGGGCCCTTAATTCAAGACAACGTGACAAGACTGGGTTTGCTTAGAAATTTTCCCAAGCACCAAAGCAGAATTTTCACATGTAAGTTTATTTTTATATTGGTTCACTGGAATTAATCAAGTCTTACACAGATGGCCAGTATATTAATGAGAACATAAATGTATTAATATTTATAAAGTTCTATTATTTTGAATATATAAAGATAATTAATTTGAAATTAGTGTATCCCTTGTTTTCAAAGCTGGTTTAATTTTTTTATATGGACAGTTTTATATCAAATCTGAGGGATAAAATTACAGTGCAAAATTTGCTAAGCAATGATTTAAAACAAATTACTTACAGATATTAAAGGAAACTCAATATAAAAGATTACTATGGCCAGATATTAGAAGTTTGAAAGTTAACTCAACATCTATATGTATAAAGTTATTAGGCAATGTTACTAAAGACCAACAGGTAATGAAAAAGTGAAATTAATTACCCCGTAAAAGATTATAATATTTTTTAAAACAATGAGATATTGGATGGGTCAAAAGCATAACTCAATATATATATATATATGTGTGTGTGTGCAGGCAATATTACCGGATAATCCTCTAATATACAGAACTATAAGAGAAAATAAAAGTAAATATACTGATGTAGGAAAGTACTTGTCAATCCTCTATAATATTAAGATACTAACTGACATACCCATTCAATACACAGGGAAGACATACGTGCCCCTTGGGAGGGGGGGGAGGTATCTGAATTCCATAAACCTTTTATCACTACTTCAAAGGGGCTATATTTGGAGGTAATCATTCCAGAGGTTTGTCAGTTAGAAGTGCATATACACATACTTTTGTCAAATAATGCTTTAAGATTGGAAAACGCAAAAGGAACAAAATATTCACAACAGTAACAACCACACTAAACTCTTGACCTCTCAAAAAACAATAAAAAATAATTGTCAGTCAAACCAATCTGGTGCTCAAAATTACAATATATCACCCTAACAACAAAGAGATAATTACTATTTCAATACTAAATGAAGAAAATCCGTACTTACATGTAACAAGAGAGCAGCAGCTAAAAATGATAATCCTTGACAGTAACCAATTTCTTGGTCATACATAGAATAAGCCTGAAATATTATCATTATAAATGTCTTTGTGGAATTGTTAATAACAGCCTTTGAATCTTTAAAAAGTAATTTTGAAATCATTGTGGTCTTTTGTGTGGCCTTGAATACTTTACATTATATAAGTGGTACTGAGTTAATGATCATAAGAGCTGAGAAAAATATTTAATTCTATGATTTAAGAATAAACATATTTTAATTTTTTTTATTTATTTTTTCTACATGCAAAGTTAATAGCTCTTAAATAAACAAAATATAATACCAAAAGGTGAGATTTGCTTTGAACGTGGAACCATGGTTATTTACAGTTTTAGTGCTGTGCTTGTGGTTTCAAAGAGATATATATATATATATATAGACACAGAAACTCTCTCTTTAAAACTGTGCTTTTACACCTGAAAATAAAGGTATCCTTCCAACTCACTATCAACACAAATATTTCATATTATCACATGGTAAATAATGTAATAAAAATAAGTATACTTGTAACACTTTTTTACTGATCATTTGTGTTGTGAGGGATGCATCAGTAAGACTTCTGAATTATGTAAAAAATTAAGTTTAGAATAGTTTTATAAAGTCCATACAACATCCTGCATATAGCTTTGAAGTCAAATTTAAATTATGAATATATATATATATTTATAAAGTAATTTTAATTCTTTATAATCTCAAGAAGTGTAACACAATACACCCACACACATATATTAATATATAAATAATTTCAAAAATTATATTATTTACATGTTGTGATAACACATGATGAAAATAAACATTATTTAAAACCAAAAATAAAAGATCAAAAGATAATTTATAGAGATTTAGTTCATAGTAATAAGAAATTATATCTAAAAAAATGGTTATTTAATTTTTACATTTAGTAAACTGACATTGAGATTATTTCAACAGTGTGCTTCTCCACAAATATTATACACGGACTATTAACAGTTATATTCTTGGAAGAAAAGATTATATTTAGGACTCAATTTTTATGATCACTCTACGCTTTAATTTTGATTAAAATTAATTTTTTCAGTATCATGATAAATGAATAAAACAAAACTTTTGCTCTTCATAACAAGCTGCCTAATAATGCAAATATTAAAATATTATCAGCTTCCTCGATATCAAGCTTTTTTTTGGACAAAATCCTTAATTCATACCAGACAAACATACATCAAAGATGTAATATAAATCAACCGACCAAGAATACTAGCTTCTTGGTTTTTTCAGGTTTTCTGAATGATAGCAAAGTTAACTCAATTAAAAATAGTACATAACTGTTGTCGAAAATAAATAATATTGTTATTAATCCATGCCCTAGTTTTGGTTTATAAATGACCTAAAAAAGTTGATAATATATTAATTACACTTCACATACTTAATCTATTTTACACAATATCAGCTATTGTTCATGTAACTGATGATATAAAAAGCACCTAGACCATTAATACGTCTGTTGTATCCCAACCAGCCTGATGAGTCCTGGAACTGGGCAAAAGGCCTCATCGGCATTTCATATGGCAGACAGTGTTGCTGGTTTATTACCAATTCTCCTTTGCTTTCTCTCATAAGTTCTAAAAATTTTAACTATAGGTTGACTAATATGTACAATATTACATGTAATTCAGTTTCTGATCCTACTTTACATATCTTGTACAGAGAGTCCTGACCAAGTCCACCACTCTCTCGGAAATAATTATGGGCTGGAAAGGTTCGATTGATGTCTCTTTGGATAACATTTTCACATGGAGATTCCTGTGATGAATAATTTTAAACAGTCCATTTAAAAATATTTTCATGTATTACTCTACAAAATTTCACTAAACCTACATTGTATTCATCATTTTTGAATAGTCAAAGCCCTTTTAGATGATAAAAAAACAGAGAAAAACAAAAAAATTTTTCATATTCTTTAGTCACTGAAACACTATAATGACTTACAGATTAAAACACAACTTCTTGTTGTTTTCTATTAATTAGACATCCACACACACACTAAACCAAAAAATTACATTAATAAAAAATTTCCTTTAATTAAACATAATGTTTTTCCACACACATACAAGTATATCAATATTAAATTGAATATTATGTAAGTTTTTTTCACCATTTTTCTATACTGGCACTTTGTGAGCACCAAAATGATGGAGAGGAAAATAATTTAAATAAAAACCTTCTTCTTAGCACAATAACTAATAGATCATACTAGGAAAATACTAATATTTGAAGTAAATTTTCACTGAAGCTTACATATGTGTAACTAAAAGAGTTCATGTCCTGTCCTTTATTTGATTGTGGTTATTTCAGAAAATACTTTAAAACCAACTATACATAAAAAAATTTATATACTGACAATTAATGTTTTTTTCCTTTAGGTACTAAAAAAAGATTTTAAATAATTAAATTAATATAAGACTTAGCAGTAACTTTGCAGAAACTTTAACATTTCTTAGTCTATAAATAATAAACAATTATCTTACTTATATTACAAAGTGAACATTAATCTCTTAAAAATCATTCAGTATAATGAGAAGAAAATAAAGTTTGAGAAATTCAAAATTTAAAGTCATTAGTTAACCTAATAAGTTGTTAAAAATACATTTCAATTACTTTGGTGGAATAATGTTATTGTGTAATTGATAAATGTAAACACTATTAAACATTCTTCTCATGAACCATATCTTTAGAAAATGTTTTTAGATAGCTCTTCATTCTAACAAGCTTTACAACAATTCTGCATTAAACAGAATAAACATTAAAAGGAATTTTTCTTTATATATATATATATATATATAACCACACATACTTAAAAGTGATACATACATCAAGATGACCACAGCAAAAAAAAAAAAATTATGACAAAATACTCAGTGTGTACAGCAGTATTAATATATTATTCAGTATTAAAACAACAGTATTCCATAATTTTTGAATATTGGTTATAGAGAGATCACCAAGTCATTGTTAAAAAACAAACTATTGTAGTTTGTAATGATACAGTAATGCACACCTTGTTAATCAGAAGTCTGTATGTCTCCATCATGTGCCTGTCATCATAGCAGCCAGCCAGCAGCTGCCACACTTCCCCTCTCAGTGCTTCGGGAATTCCCCGTCGAACAAGGGAACTCAGACCTTTGGGTCTCTGCTTAAGATTCTGTCTCCACTTACTCAAAACGTCAGCCCATCCAGCCAGCTCTGTCTCAGTGCAATCCTTACTGACTTCACCTGTACCACTCAGCAGAGGTTCATCATTATCTAATAGTTAAAGAAAAACTATGAATGTCACAACTTAGCTACTGTACAGATTATGTTAGTCAGTAATAATAAACTAGCTCACAAAAGTTTTTTACATATTTACCAGTGTTTCACAAAGATCAATTTTAACAAAGATTAGTTGTGCACTTTTGAAAAAAAATTGTTTTTTTCTAATAATTGTCCAAAACTGTCCCATCTTTTAACAACCTCTGTCCAGTAGGACCCAATATTTATCTTGGAATGATATTAACTAACTGTACAGAAAGCCACTAAATTCTATTTGTTCAAAATACACTCAAACTTAAAAACCAATAACATGTCAATTACTTTATGATTAGATTGGCTTTTATTTTCTTTACAATTAAAGAAGAATTGCCAAACTCTTTATATCAGCTCTTTCAAAATAATTGGCACAACTGCTAAAGACTATTAAAGACAGTATCTTCAGTGTTTAGCAAACGCAGAGCTTTCAATCTAAAAGTTTATAAAACAGCATTATTTCTTTAATTACAATTACAGCTACTGTGATGGTCATACAGCCCTTAAGCATAACTTGCTATGAGATAAGCATGGTTGACCAATGTAGGTTAATTTCAATTTAGAAAATATTGTAATAAAATTCTTGGTGTTTTAGTAGTTGTTGTGTTTGCTCACTAAAGGTACTGTAACATCTACTTTATTTATGAACAATCTTCAGCATTAATCTCTATTAATTACATAAATACATGAAGCAACATTTGATATATATCTTGAATATAAAAGTTATTTGCACATAAATTACCTTTGGACACACATTTGAAAATTAACATGGATAGGTATTACAAGTTTAATGCAGTTATTGACAGTGAAGTATAATTAAAGAGACCTCTATGTTGTAAGAAATGAAAAATTATTTCTTAGGGTCTTCTCAGTTTTCCTTATGTTTAAGATAAACTTCCAAAAAATCAGGATACAAAATTATTACTCATATGGTGCATTCATTAAATTTAATATGACAACAATAATTATCCAAGATATTCTAAATGACCCCAAAACTGTTTTAATATCAAAGGCATACCTTCTTACTGTTTAAAGTGCTATCATAAACTATTATAATGTAAATCTCACAACTTACCCTCTTTGTGCTAGAATAAAAATATATTTAAGATTTATTATTTTGATAAATGAAAATTGAATAAACAATAAAATATTTCCATACATTATAATTTGTTTTTGTATAATCAGCATCAAACAAACTGTGCATACATAAGTATGTTTGAGACCAAATAGAAAGTAAATTCTTTAAAAATTTCCAAATATCTACTTTGTAATCTGTACCAGAATTGCTTTCAGCATCTCCTGGTGTGGAAGGAGATAAATCAACAGGTCGTCTTCCTTGTGAAAGGTTGAGAGATAAAACCATACGTTTTCTGTGCAGTTGGGTGGAACTTTCCAAACTGACAACATCAAAAATATGATCCTTAATGTTCTCAGATTCCACCTATTGTTAAAAAATTTACATAATTTAAAAAATGCACTGGAACACTAAAACAATGTCTACCTATTTCTAAGTCCCTCCCACAAGATACCATTAGTGCTAAAATCATACAACTTTCAATAAAATATTTTTATGTTAACAAGCAATCTCTCATTCAATGGTAGAAATATGAGAATTTTAGTAGGTGGTGGAGTATCCCATTAGATCCAGAAGCTGAGAGTGGGGTACATGGTTATGTAGTGCAAGATCCAAGAATCATTTTTCTATGCTTTTTTTCTCTCATCTAAGTAGCCAGTGAGGTATTTCTAACCTACCAAAATGGACCACCCAAACACTATGGTCAGGTTATTTCATCATTATTTTAGTACTCCTCTCTCCTCTTATACTTGTAATATTATTTTACTTCACTCAGAAAAAGACTTTGTATTTTCCATTCCTTGCCTTATCTTGAAAATTTTCCATCCTTCTCATCATTGAGATCTGCACTCTGAGGGCAAGTTGTCAGATACATCTGTAAGTTTACCACTCCTGTACACAAATGTAGTTCCCTTCGGTGCTTTACAGCACCTTCTCTGTGAAACCTTGTCTGATCTCACTTGCAACTAACTTTTAGAGCAACTGATATGCCATAATGATCATATCCACACCTGCTAAACTTGTAACATCTCAGAAGTTTTGCTACTTTAGAACTGCAGGTTAGTTTTAATAAATACAAACTTGTTTCCATCTCAATAAGAACAAAGACTCAAGAGTCTATCACTCATTGTCTCAGCAGTTCTTCACAGGTTTCACAAAAAGTTTGGGAATGGGAAGTATATCATATATAATGTATTACAACAATACCATGATCACTGTCTGAATTAGGGTAAAAAAAAATCACCAAACTCTATTGGACAACAACCAATCATAATTTCTTTGGACGTTAGTTAATTAGAGATTGACATACATTTCTGGATTCCTCATAAAATAAAGCATATTTCTATAGATGTTCAGAAAAATGACTAAATGCCAAATACGATTCACACAATATGCTCTATCATTTCTGCCACTATTGTATCAAAGACTGTTTATTAAGATTAAAAATGCTCTGACAGACAATGTAAATATCCTTGTTATATGAATGAGAAAATGATTGAAAATAAAAGAATTAGAGAGATTAACTCATTCATTACAACATGAACTTACTCAACTTCATTGTACATTGCCTTAATTGTTTTAATCCTTTTCAACAGGGTTCAACACCAATATGAAACATAATTCTGAGTACTTATTCTGTACACATCCTATAATATAATATTAGACACCCACAAAAAAAAAGGCTATTACACCAAATGAAATATGAAAAATGTATATCTTTACTGTTTTATTTATCTTCTAAAAGTTCTTATATTTTATAAAAGTAAAACCTCAAACAAATAAATATATATTTCACATTTATACTTATAACTGAAAAGCTTACAATAAAATTGATATTTTGTTGTTTCACCAAAAATTAGTTCTCACAGTCTAGATAAATACCTTTTCATCAAAAATACATGTATAAATAACAAATATCAGTATTTTATAATGACAATGTTCATTCAGAGATAGAGGCAAATACATACAGAAAGTCCAATAATTGTCATTACATTTTTAATAAAGTATAAATTAAGTTAAAAAATTTATTGATTAAGTTACCATTTTGTAAAAAAAAAATATATATAATTTGGCTTCAAACAATTATAAACTATTTCAAATGTGTGAAACAAAAATCCAGTTATCTAATGTGACAAACTGTCATTATTACATGGCTTTTTCAAGCTTCTGAGGATTGGGTGTTGTTATTTTGTGTGACAGGAGCCAAAGAGCAAGATCAGATACAATGGTACCTAATTTTGAACTACAGACCAGATACTATGTGGCCCTTCAGCAGTACCCACTGCCACTGATCAGCAGCCCAGCAAGTCGAGCAATAAGCCATATTTGTCCTTGTGAAGAACGACCAATTCTTTTTTTTTTTTGTTGGGTAAAATTGTTGAAGTATAAAGATGTAAATTTTAAACAAGTTCATAGAAACACATTTATAAACACACACATTCATTTATATATATATATTTATATATATATAGATACATATATATATATTAGGGTGGTCCACGCATATATGATCAAAAATGAACAGATATGCCACAAGTTTACTTCTCCAGTAAACTTTCTTAATTACCCTGTGTTTATCGGTTGACAAACGATACTGTTGCATGATCTCATAAATTTGTTATATTATTATGTACAGTATTTGCCAGCATTATTGGTCCATCAAGTGGACCAGAATTTGGTCTGTTTAAGAGATTCAAAGCATGATGGGTGGCACTTTACAAATATCCGGTCAGAGCTGCTGATGATGACAAAGACATTCACCTTCTCTTAATCAGCACAATGAAATAGGACAGGATCAAAGTAATGCTTTACTTGAATAATATGTTACAAATGAAATCATATCCCAGAGATAATTACAAGAACTCTTGAAGTTTTCACTTGTGTTTCTTAAAGGAAAAATTCCCTCTGAAGTGAAGTTCAGAACTCCCAGGTCATATCATTATGCACGTTGGATGGCTAAAGCCATATATATATATATATATATACTACCAAAATATTTCTCTTTCAAAAACAGTTCAAACTGACCGACCAAGAAATCAAAGGCTTGACACAAGCATGCCTTTTCATAGCCATGATCTATGCTCTCTTCTGGAATGAAGTTCCTATAGCAATGGTTGCACCATTCAATGACCTCAGTATAATGTTACCTGCATATCCAGCTCGTTCAGTTGCCAATGCTGCAATGGCAGGCTTCAAATGGTACTTATGTTATTTATCAGAAGACTTGGTTGGTTTGGCTCTGTTTTAATACACTTTGTGCATCATCACAAAATTTGGCAGACTTTTAGTAAGCATTAATATTCTTCTGTACACAAAAAATCAGAAGTTTTAATGAAGGATTTTTCATTAAGATTTGTCTGTGAATATATATAGTATGTCTGCACAATAAGTGATTTCAACGTTAACATTAAAAATACTTTTCTTTATCTCAAGAATCTCAAATTTTATTTGCGTAATCTCTAAAGCCTCCTAAATAAATTTCAACAAATGTTTACTTTTCAGTAAAACTTTATATTTTATCTGTTATTTTCTCTACCTTAACTTTATACAAGGCTGGACAATTTGACTGACCTCACAACCACCAAAATAAAATCAAAATAAGTCTAAAACTTCATCTAAGCTCTCCAATGTGCTTCACATGAGAATCAATCTTGAACTGAAAGCAAAAATGACAATTCTCTTTACAGAAAACAATGTCATATAATACATCGTTTGATGGATGAAAACCTTGATTTTTTATTGGTTATAAATAATATAGTATTGAACGTAATTGAGAACTATTGGCATTTTGTGAAAGCGAAGATGTGACAGGTAGGTGTGGCAAGAAGGGTCTGGTTATGTATTTCATGGTTCTGTAACCAAATAAGATTGAAGGCTATGAAAATTATGCTTCGCTTGAGTGATGATATTATAATAACTAATTTATGTGAAATTTCATACTTCTTGGAGGGATGGTAAATAAACTAGAGAAGAGGAGATGCCAAGAAAGCAAATGTCACAATTCTCATGTTAGGGGAAATTCCAGTTTTCTTTTTTTTTTTTTAATATTGCCTGATCAAAGTAAGAACTTCAAACTCATACACTATTAAAATATGAATTATTAGGTAAGTTTTTAAGCTATATTTATTGGTATAGCATGAAAAGAAAGTAGTTTAATTAATAACTTTTGAATGTAACTCACTAAAACTTGTTACATGCACAGAAAAAGAAGCCCGTGAAGACAGGGTTAAAACACTTTAAATTGTACTGCATATTAAGATTACAGAATATAGAGTGTGCCTGAAATATCTGTTATCTGGCTAATCAATAAGTACACAAACCAACAAGGTAACCACTAGGTGGATTTATGTGTAGTTGGTACTTGATATTAGGAATGCCTAAATCAATCTGGTTATATCATCATTTAACAGTTCAAATGAAGGGCAGACATTATAAATTTATGTATTTTTGTTTCTATCGACTACAATGATAGAGTAAATAACATCAGAATTAATAAGATGATTGTTTCATTCTACATTCAAACTATACTTTATAAGGTTAGTTGGAATTTTTTTATCTGAAACTGGAAGCATTTCCTACTACTTGGCATTGAGAATGGGGTTGAGTTTTGGCATCTAATGTCAAGATAAAACACTGCATTATATACAGGAAGATAATAAGAAAACTTCTTTGTATGGACTTTGTATTCCATGTTTGAAACAAACAAAAATTACTCATTTGCTCTGAATAAAATGAAAACATCTTTTAAATGAAAAATGAAGAAACCACTTGTATATTTATACTTCCAGTTATATAGCTTATGATAACTGTAACAAGCATTTTTACTTCATTTTCATAATATATTTCTAGTACATTTTTAAGTGATAAAAGTAAATATCATATGACACACAAAACTTTCCAATTAAGTTGAAGGTCTTTGAACCAAATAACAGAATTGACTATGACTCTTAAAACACATCCACAAATGAATGCTTAATGAGTGATCAATGGCATTACAATATGAACCTTGGACCTTCTGATCTGCAGCCCAGCATGCTTACCACTAGTCTTACAATTTGAATATAACACTTATATTACTAAGAAATGTTCCAATGCTATCTGGGCATCAATATTATACTAACCTGTCATGTAATTAACTCACCTCTATGAGTCTCAAATAAAATTGTTCATAAAGTGGTTTCTTAGAAAAGTACCAGAAACGCTCGTTCTGTGGGAAAATTTTAGCCTTGGTCTCCATAACAAACCTCACAGGCTCTTGTATTCCTGTAACTACCAGGTCCACTGCTATAGTCAAATACACCCTCATATCTGAGAAACCCAAGAAGAAAATAAATGAAGTAATTGCTCAACATAATAAATAATACACATTTTATATATTCCAAAAAAATGCTCCTGCATGAATAATTACTGTTACGCTCCTACTTTAGACCTTGTATTATACACTGGTTTCTTTAATTTTGTTGCTTTTGAAATAATTCATATTAATTTGCCACAGAAGGCATGTCTTTAGAGCATTCTAAATTACTGAAATGTGATTTATCAACACAGCATTAGGCCTATCCACATAAGAACTTGACACTGGAGACCAAACGTGAGTTTAAAGATTGTACTTCAGTTACAAATATAATTTGATATATGTATACGTGTGTGTATATATTCATATTTTATTTTATCAAACACTACTTTCATTATCCTCTCTCTTCATTCTCCAATGAAAATTGTTGCAAAAGTACATTGTAGAATTTACAATAAATCCCACCATACAGAAGTAAGGTACGGGTTTAGAAGTTTTCTGAGCTAGTTAAGTTGAATTTATTAGTAAACAACATGTTGATGTGTCATGTCACTTAAGTATATAGCAATTATTTAAACCATCTAATCAAGTTAAAATTTTGGTTTTTAGAAAACAAAAACAGATCTAAAAAACTGGTGAAATTCATCTACTGACCTAAATATACTAAGATGTGTATATACTTCTTATAAAAAAAAGTAAATTACCAAGATGAAACTAATTCTGACAGAAACGAGGTTTGCTAATTTCCTTCTTAATGTATTTTTACTTAACAATATAGAATACATTAGAAGTAAACTAAGTTCCACTGGTTAAGACTTGACCACTGGAACCTAAACCATTCAAGACATCAAACAAATACACTATTTAAAGTTCAAAAACTAATTTAAAAACATAATAAGAGGGAAAATAAAAGAATTACAGTCTAACACTCCTCAAATTCAACTTTATGGGAATAATAAAAGTAGAAGAAACTCAGGTAGAAGCAATAAAAAGCATTTTCAAGCATTTCTGTTAATATAAAGTAATGACTTATATCTCCAGCAAACATCTTTACTGGCTAAATATTTCATTCCTACAGCTTAGTAAGGAGCTATAGAAACCTACAAGTTCACTAATTTAGTTGAAACTAAATTGAAAGACTGTTCTCAGTTAATCAAATATTGATATGGATATCATTTGAAGTATTATCAAATATTCCTGAACCTCACTGGCTGAAGCAAAGCAAATCCTATTGAAATCACAAGATTTAAAATCAGTTATGTAAATGATCAAATAATTAAATAATCTATTTTACTGAAGAAAAATAAACCTAAAATGAACAAATATAAAGGTTGGCCTCTAGTTTAGAGCTGTTAATTATATTCTTAAGATTTTAATATGTTTGAATTTTGACAACACATTCACAATGGTTATAATGTTTTTTAACACTGACTTACGTATTGATATAATACAACAGAATAACATGGAGATCTGTAAACATACTAACAAGCACAAGTATGAAAAAGTACTTCACATATGTAAAATATCCTATTTTAAGTCCCATGATCTTAAGAGTTCACCTGTTAATTTACGCACTGTTTATCTACCACTATTCATTAGTTTGTTTCAACGATTTAAATTCACTGATATTTGATATTATTTTGTAATATGATCTGAGCCTTTTACACATGTTTCAAGGTTTAATTTGGTAGTTGATGACAATATTCCAATTTAGTTTAGACTGGATTACTGAAGTTATAAGTTATCCATAGCTCCTAATAATGATGTAATATCAAAATAAAGCCAATAAATATACATTCAGGAGATATAAATAATTACTGTATTTAAATTAGTAGTAATGTCTCATAACAAGTCCCAACTTGTGTTAAAAAAAAGTTAAGAATCATATTTTTCAAACATTCATATGACCAATGTGGATTGAAAACAAGAGCAGAAACTTGAAGGAAATACACATGAAATTACACAACTTGAAATTTACAATAATTCAGACAGGCCTATCAAAATGTGTCCAATCGAATAAGAATATTTCGTAATTTAATGAGAATAAATTTAGATTGTCAACCAGATTACAGTAAAAAAAAGTGGGAAAATGTGCTTAAGAGCAGTAATTTAGGTATTAAAAATAAATTATATTGTTTTTTAACACAGTTATGATTAAAATAATTTTATTTATACCACTAAAAATATATTAGAGAAATTTTTTTGATGCTTTACATTTGTTACAGTACATCTTTAACCAGGAAAAATATAAATCATGGTCTTTTTTCTCACAGTAACTACACTTAACCTCAATATTTATGTAAAATTCACAGATAAAACAAGTGAATCAGAGGGGTGTAATGGAAGAAAAAATAGCTGGTCATATAATTGTTTGTTGAATTGTGCATAAAGATATTAAAAATCTATCTGTGCTAGCCATCCATAATTTTGAAGTAACATATTGGAGGAAAAGTAGTTAATACTCAATGTCAACTCTTGGGAGACCAAATAATGGGATTTGACTCTCACTTTTATAACCAAAAGTGCTGAGCATGATTTTTGTTTAGGTGGTAATGGGGCATGAAACCTTATATTTACAGCACAGCATACCATAAACTACTGAGTTGCACTCTGCCAAAAGCACAAAAATTTGTTATAATCAGATGTTTTAATAATAACAATTTAAATATAATAAATTGTGAATGAACTTTTGGTTGATAGTTAACAAACTTCAAGAGCTATTTTGATATCAAGAGTATCATTCATTAATATTATTGTAGCTATCTAAAATTAATCTAAGGGCTGACTATGAAATTCAGTATTGCCTTAGAAGGCTTAACTTTAAAATTTAAAACCTATTTCATATCAAACTGAAAAAAGTATCTTTATAATAAAAATTGCTGCTTTATTGCGATGAAAGGAGAACGTAAGCAGTTTTGATTAGCTGCCCACTGAAAGCAGAGTCAGTATTGATAAAAATAAAGATCAAGATTTAAAATTTCTAGTGATATAATTTTTAAAACTTAACTATGTTAATAACCCCTATGCTTGAAGAAAAAATGATAACTGTGATACTGATGACAATTACCTTCCTTAATAATGATATATCTTTTGATATAACAGGAATTTCTGAAGCTTATGATTTCATAAGATTATTACGAATGTATAAAAAAATTATCATCCCCTTCCACTAAAAATTCAAGAAATTACAAAAAACCTTTTATAATTTATTTCAATGAAATGATTTTCTAATTAGAATTATTATTGGACCTACGTGTTTCTATCAGCACTTCACTACTTTCAATACATACTTATAATGAAGTACTATCTGTTTTGTTCAATAACAAAAGAAAGTTTCACATTTACAATCACACTTCTGAAGTAAACTATTAAAACCAAGACGAACCATTCACTTTTTTTAATTAATAGCTTTCTTTGGTAAGAAATCTATACCGTTACTGTATTATCTAGCTTCACTTGTTTACATTAGACACTTGTAGAATAAAAAATGTATTAGAAAAAATGGGCAATAAAACATGTATAATAGTACAAAGGCTTAGATCTCACTTCTGGGTGTTTCTGTGTTAAGAACTTCAAAAGGAGGGTCATTAGGATTCCATTGTCCACTGATGTGGTACACTGTCTTTTCTCCAGTCAGAAACTTGGTCATGGAGGCCTGAAATGGACAGTTCAGTTAGAATATACGTAACTTACAACCAAGATGCTTTTGTTAGTCATAAAAAAATAAAATGATTCTATTAACTCTTATCAAAATCAAACAATCTGCTTAGTTTAAATTTAGGGTATTTTTCATATCATTTGTCAAACTGTTATAAAGAAAACAGCCTATTTTATAAGAATTGCATTTAACACATGAATACTCCTGTGACTAAGAGCATAAACCTGACAAATTTAATGAAATTGCCAAAGAAGTCAACAGTCAGCTTTATGTTCTTGGTTTAATGTTTTTTTTCTTTAAGTACTCAATAAAAAGGACTATCTTATAGTTAGATTTCTGCACTTACTTATATGAAAAGTGTCTTATTCTAATTTATTCTATAACAAACAGATGTTCAGTATGATGCTGAAGTATGGATTTAAATACAAATTTCATGCTTCTAAGTCTAAAAATTGTATAGAACAGATTCAGATAAACAGCCTTAGGGTAAGCCCTAATTTCACATTACCTGGTACATATAAAACAAGAAAGAACATCAATGCTATTAAACCACTATAAGTTTGAAGACTCCCTCCAGCTTTTGTTATTATATGACTTAACACTTTATATTCGACATCTTAATCATTTACCTTCACCAGATATGTAATGACCTTTTTTTGCAGTCTGCTACAGCCTCTCTTTGTATTTATACTAGGATTGATATTTCACTACTGATAATAAATGTTACTGACTCACAAAAAGTACAAACTCAAGATTGATATGACTAATCATACACTTTTATTTATACAGATGCTATAGAAGTTGTTAAGTACAAGCTAGAAGGTACAGATCAAGCTGTTAAGCATAAGCTAGTAGGTACAGATCAAGCTAGAGAAGCTGTTAAGCATAAGCTGGTAGGTACAGATCAAGATAGAGAAGTGAAGTACAAGCTAGAAGGTACAGATCAAGCTGTTAAACATAAGCTAGTAGGTACAAATCAAGATAGAGAAGTGAAGTACAAGCTAGAAGGTACAGATCAAGCTGTTAAACATAAGCTAGTAGGTACAGATCAAGATAGAGAAGTTAAGTACAAGCTAGAAGGTACAGATCAAGATAGAGAAGTTAAGTACAAGCTAGTAGGTACAGATCAAGCTAGAGAAGCTGTTAAGCATAAGCTAGTAGGTACAGATCAAGATAGAGAAGCTGTTAAGTACAAGTTAGTAGGTACAGATCAAGCTAGAGAAGCTGTTAAGCATAAGCTAGTAGGTACTGATCAAGATAGAGAAGTGAAGTACAAGCTAGAAGGTACAGATCAAGCTGTTAAGCATAAGCTAGTACGTACAGATCAAGCTGTTAAACATAAGCTAGTAGGTACAGATCAAGCTGTTAAACATAAGCTAGTAGGTACAGATCAAGATAGAGAAGTTAAGTACAAGCTAGAAGGTACAGATCAAGATAGAAAAGTTAAGTACAAGCTAGAAGGTACAGATCAATATAGAGAAGTTAAGTACAAGCTAGTAGGTACATATCAAGCTAGAGAAGCTGTTAAGCATAAGCTAGTAGGTACAGATCAAAATAGAGAAGTGAAGTACAAGCTAGTAGGTACAGATCAAGCTAGAGAAGCTGTTAAGCATAAGCTAGTAGGTACAGATCAAAATAGAGAAGTGAAGTACAAGCTAGTAGGTACAGATCAAAATAGAGAAGTGAAGTACAAGCTAGAAGGTACAGATCAAGATAGAGAAGTTAAGTACAAGCCAGAAGGTACAGGTCAATATAGAGAAGTTAAGTACAAGCCAGAAGGTACAGATCAATATAGAGAAGTTAAGTACAAGCTTCTAGCTTTTAACTGGAACATCCCATCACTCTCCAGCAAAGGTATCACACTTACACTCATCTTTTACTTTGAGTATCATGATTTGAATAAAGAATGTTTTACTGTTTGCAAACTTCTGTCTAGGCTCTTTCTTTGTGTCAGACTCAAAGTCAGATTTCTACTGTGCAATATATTTCTGCTGATCCTCCAATTATCCTGTGGTTCCTACTCAATTACCTTAAGGGAGTTCAGTGAATTTGAGATTACCACACATGCAGCAACTTTCAATTAAGCATCTTCAACTTTATATAGGTATTATTGTTATATTAATCCTTATTGGATCGTGTGCAGTGTTAAGACCTCCCACGAGTCTTTTTACATTCTCACAAAGAAAATACTTTGGTAAATTATGAGATTTAGTATAAATTTTTTAAATAGTCTTAGTACTTGTAACTGTTTTCTTTTTTTTTTTTCAGGTTGTGAAATTTCTAAAATTAAGAAGTTAAACACCAATTTTGAAGGAAATAAAAACAACTTTTTCTCTCAGTTTTATTTTCCATTATTGGCCAGAAAGTTCCATTTTATATATATCCAATCAGTTACTATTTTTATATTCATTAACTTATGTACAACGTTGGTTGATTCAATCCACTTTGGAACTGCCTTGTAAGCATGAAACTGTAAGTACTATAACTTATCTACGATCTTTCACAGCCAAAAACAAACAAAGGATCATAAGATTTATGTATAAACATATCTTCTCTTAGTATTCATTATAAAAAATAGCAGAAACTAGCTCCTCTAAGAAGTACAGAATTTAACAGAAATTACTTATAATATAGTTATTACTTAGGCAAATCATACTTCTTATAGCCTTCAATCTTATTTGGTAACAGAGCCATAAGCTAGAAAATCAGACCTCTCTTGCCACACCCATCTAACACATACCCTCTTTCAGTAATTGTCAATAGTTCTCTCTGATGTTTAATACTATATTATTTACAACCTATAGAAATTCAAAGTTTAATCTATTAAATAATGTATTATGTTGATTTCTGTACAGAGAATTGTCTATTTTGCTTCCAGGTCAAACTTTATTCCCACGGGAAAAGCATCGAAGAGCTTAGCTGAATTTTTAATGGCTTTCATCACAAAGTTAAGAAGCCAGAAAAATTGGGATAGTTATGGGACATTGCTTTTTATGTGTTGTAATTTTGTGTTCTTAGGTGCATTATTTAATTAAATAAAAACTCCTGTGTGGTAGTGCTATTAATATAAAAAAGTAGGTTTAAGTTTCATTGACAGTCAACAGCAAAGAAAAAGAAGACCCAGGTAAGTACTTTATTTCTTGTTTTTTTGTATATTCTTTATTTATTATTATAAAAGTACCTAAAATGTAAAAAGTAGGAACTTTGTAGGTTATATAAAGTTAAATGAGGTAAAATAGAGAACAACAATAATAAAAATAAATTTTTTTCACAGGGTATGCTTGTAAGCAACTCGTGATTTATGTGATGTGATAGGGTAACATGAACTACGCATTCACAAAGTGATCTACAAATTTTATAGTGGGAATATCAGTTAGTCATGGTACAAAGAGAAATAAAGGTCAATTTGGGGTCACAAAATCAGTTGATTTGACTGAGTCCATAGCAAGAGAGTTAATTACATTTTTAATGTAAAACTGTAAAAGGTCATGACATGTGCCCTTTGACATACCTGATGCAAAAGGGTTAATTACATTTTGAATGTAACTCTGTATAAGGTCATGATGCGTACTTTAACCCCGCCATACAGAAAGAATTAATTTTTTTTATACTTTATTTTTCCAATTGAAGTAGTCCACTTGCTACTATAAATAATTCAAACACAGTATGACTCACAAAGATGTATTGGAGAACAATGACCACAACTTTTAAAATTACCATTAACTTTGCAAGTATCAAAGCATGTTTTCCAAACAATATTTTCATTGAATTAAATTTACAACCAATGGTTAAAGGTTTCAATAAATTAAAAGTTTCTGTGTTTGTGTTGTTTGAACAGAGAATATGCATCATTCAAATAGTATGTTGTTGAAAGCTAAGCTTACCACAGTTTCTAATCCAAAATATCCTTACCTAATCTTGTCATAGAAAAATATTTCTTTATCTTTCAAACAGACATAATGTAACACTAAAAGAGTATCAGGAATGAAAATATCATCATCAGTAACTATTAAAAAAAACCTTGGCTTCCTCATTGTAGAAAATATCTTAAAACTTTCTACTGAGATTACTATGTTAAAGCTGAGTGCACCAACTTACATTTTCACAAGGCACCATTGTTTTCTTGACTATACAGCATTAGTGATTAGTATCTCCTCTTTCTTAAAGTTACTGGTTTTAGGCTATATCTCTTTTCAAAGTTAAACTACCATACAAAGCTTGTAGGACAAAAAGGGCAGTATTATTTAATAGTTCAACCAAAACATTCACAGCCAAATAATCAAAAGGCATTAGGACACAAACATCAAGCTAAGCAGAAATGTTGGAATTTGATTAAGAGAAATAAATAAAGCTTAGGAATCAGAAAATTTATTCTTTTTATGCTAGAAGTGCGATGTTTACAGTTCAGACACCTTGAGATACAACAGAATTGAACGTTTAAACATTGTTTAAGCTATTATCCATGAAATATAAGTATTAATTATATAATGTTAAGATATTTTTGAAAATATCTATAATCTTTAAACAAATTTTGAAAGTTGTGCAGCTATTGTGCACTCAGAGTAGCCTAAAATCTTGTCAGTCTAAAGACGGTTACAAATGGGACACTTTTCTGCTTCCTTGTATTACATAACATAAATTGTATAATACAAAGCCTACTGTATTACCATTTCAATCAGCTGCATATCACCATGCTTCACATTCCTTCCAGGTGAAATTAATAGTCCAAAACATCTGTTAAGTCCAAAAAAAACTGTTTCATCATAAAGCTAAAGCATGTATAGAAAAAAATTAGGCTACAGCATTAAAATATTTATTAAGTACAAAAAAACTGCACTTACATATTAAAAATGTGACAAAATTACTTTACTAGTCTTCAGTGTACGTGCAAAACAAAAATACATTATTATTTGAGCAGAATTTTCAAGGAAAATACACTATCTAAACACCTATGGATGAATGATGTTTTACGTTTTACAACTAGCATAAAGAATTTGAAAATTGTACTGTACTTTCAAAGTTGCATTAATGTAATTCAAACAGAAATCTCATACTGATTAGCATGGGATGCTATAGTACTCAAATACTAGATACCTTAATCTACTATAGTATTGATTTCATAACCACAAAATGTTTTGACGTTAAAAAAAATATACATTTCATAGGAAAACTTCATAGAATAAATGCCATTACTTAACTGTTTATGCTTAACACATTTACTTACCACAAAAAATAATTATTTCATTATAATTATTCAACTGAAACAAGTTTTAACAGAGGTTAGTGATTAATGTCCAAGAATTGGTTATTATATACAGTAAAAGAACACATATTCTTGGTTCTAATGTTCCTTTAATGTAAAAAACGAAAAATGTAAACTGAAATATAAAATTGACAAACATTTTTAAATCTTGCCTTACAAAAAAACAAAAACTCAGTCTTCTCATGATGTCTGAACACGCACACACAAGTGTTTACGTCAATTTAAAATAGATACAAAAAAACTTTTATATTATCTTCTTGTCATTCAATACAATAACCATAGAAGATGAACTTACAGAAAAGCAATCCAGAAACAACCAAATACCTCAACTCTTATTTTCTGACATCTACCACCCAGATAATTTAACTAGATTGACAATCACTACTAAGTCTATTAAATTCAAATAAAAAGAAACTCCTTATATAAAATCATAAATCTTATAATACAATCATCTCTGTACAAAATATATTTATTTTCATAAACCAAATACATTCAAAATCGTCTTGGGCAAATAAAAATTGCATTAGACTATGCAAATAAAAAAGAAATATACATAGATTAAAATAAAAACCTGATTATTCAGTAACTCACAAGTAAAACTTTACCATTTATCACATTTCAAGTGAAGATCACAATATTAAACATATTGGAAAACACATGAATCATGAAAAAAAAACTAAACATGACTTAGCAAGATAATATCAGCAACAGCCTAAAAGTGTAATGTAACTTTAGTTAAATATTATCTCCTTTGAAGAAAGAACTACAGAGGATTAAGTATGTTATATTAAAACTATTCCAAACACGCAAATCATCAAGCATATGACAACACAGCTAATATAAAGATTTGGTGGAACAGTTTGTATCATAACTACATTTTGACATTATTTAACATTTCATAGGTAGTGATGCCACCAAAAATGATTGTTATTGGGAAGGATATGTGACAGCCATTTCTTATGCAAAATATTCATTCACACACTAATATCACAAAGATGGGTTGATGGGGATTTATAATTTCCAAGATAGGAATATCCCTTCTACTTAATGGCAATTGAAAACAAAGGAATAAGAAACAAATCAAGTCTCCGAGAGCATCCAGAAAGAGACCTTCAACAATTTGTACACCCAGCCTAGGTAAGCAAAGTGCAGCATCTTGTAACAGGTGAGAATCCACAAATAAAAAGGTCAGTGGCAAAAGTCACCCACATCTTCCAGGCAACAGCATGCAACATAATCAAGAAGGATCTCTCTAGAAAAGCACCACAACTCACATATACACTAATTTATTCTATGATATATCCATTCAACCATTGCAGTTCTCAAGGGTATTCATGCTATTCCATATGAAGAAATGGCAGTCAATCTGCTGGATACAGTGCCTTCTGAATTCTGTAGGATCAGACTGTTGAAAAGGGTGTTGGTAAACCATCATTCTCACACATTAGATGGAGTATGGAAAGCCTGCAGGGAGGAGAGGTTT